TATATATATATAGTGAAAAATAATAAGTTTTATTTACTGCGCATAAGATGCAAGTATATAGAACTCATAAAATATGATATAAATAATGAGAAAACATGGAAAATAATGTAATAAAAATAATGAAGAGAAAAATAGAAAAATTATTAAATTAAATTATTTTTAAAAATATTTAAAAAAAAAAAATTTGAAGAAAAAATTATAAGCCGGAAAGCAAAACAATAAAAGGATCAAGGGTCTAATCTGCCTGATTTTTCATCTGTCTGATGGCTTGTTTTTATACTATTGGGAAGAAAATTATACTCTTCATATTAAATTTGTTTTTATATATAGAGAGGATTTAATTATCTTTAATATTCAAGAAATTTATCTAAATATTATTTACCTCGAGGATTTAATTTGGTTTCGTAATCGTTATGATAATATTAATTTTTAGGTGTTGAAAGAAAAAAATATCTGGTTCGCTGATTTCTACGATAAAATAAATGATTTTTACTTTCAATATGAATAGACTTATTACTTGGAAATCTAATGTTTTTAAAGACATTTCTTTAAATACCATTTTTAAACAAATGAATAGAATTAAAAAAATCTGTAGAAATGTTTATTAATTCAAAAAGGAAATAGACAAATTCTATTAAAATTTGATAAAATATCAATGGATGCCCAACTACTGTATTTACGTTCTGTATACAATAATTGCGTTAGTTGTGTGTTATTATTAATAAATTTACTAAAAGCTTCCTGGTTGCAGAGATTTATATTTTTATTTTATGTAAATTGATTTCTTTATTGAAATCTATGCAAACAAGGCAAATAATTATTTTTTTTCTAAAATGTTAATTTTATAAAATCATTAAAATTGAATAATTAAATATCAATCGTAATAATTATAAATTTTAAATTATCCAATATAATATTATTACCTTGCGCACAACCATTTTCGGGCCAATCCAAAGCAACTAATTAATCAAACGCGCTTCAGTGCAGTAGTAAGAACACGCCGTAAAAAAACTCTGTATTTATGCTTCTAATTTCATATTTTGTAATCTAGCAAAATTAATACGAAAATATTTTAAATCATTCTTGAAAGATTATGGAATGTGTAAGTTCATTTGAAATCATTACTCGCTTAATGCATTACATTTTATATTTTATTCAGTTTTTTTCTAAATTTTATTTTCTATTTTTTGTTTAATATACCTTATTTCCTAAATTTTTTGCTTAATATATTCCATTTTCGTTCCAATTTTATTGTGTGCTCCGATCACAACTGTATTGATGCATTTTGCTTTGGATATATTATTACAATGTTACAAAGCACTTATTTTTGAGGATGGAGTGAGCTGATGGCGAGACTTTCATTATTTTGTTTTCCAGTTTTATATATATATATATATATATATATGTAATAACAGGGCTACAACCCTGTTATCAGTGTTGTATTTAGCTTAAAATAATTGCAGTCTTAAGCCATCAAACGTTCTAAACAGGTTTATTTAAATGTAGGCTGGTATTGCTAACAGTTCACGTCCCCACTCCTGCAAAGGAGGGGGAGTGGACAAGACTCCGGACAATTCCGGAACAGCTTATCGGGATCACATCAAGATGAAAAGGACACGCAAAACTATGCGTTCTTACGTTTTATACCAGCATAGATTTGAGGTAAAAAAGCACACTGTCGTACATTCCTTGTAACCTTACGTATGGTGAAGGAAAGCCAAGGGTGCCATTTATATGTTGAGAGATGGTGGAATATTAAGGTGTGGGTGGAAGTTTGTATTGGTATAGTGGGCCAGTTGAAGAATACATGAAAACAGAAGGGTGATGAAAACAGTAGTTGAGACGGATTAGAATTAATAAAAAGCTTTTATTTATGGAAACATATTTGCAGAGCTCGAGATACAAAATAAACATATTATCCATACGAATTTCAGTTGAATCAATTTTGCATAATATTATTAATAAGGACAGGCCATGGGAGACAAAGCCCCACGACCTGCCTAAACAAAAGCCAAATTAAAAAGTACGTGTAATTTGTTCCGATCGGACACAGGAGAAGCATGGGAAGGAGATCCAAAATTGGCGAATTATCATAATATAGCATAGCCAAAACAAAGCCAACCAGCAATAAATATTGGGTTTAAAATAATACCTTGGCGATTACGAGTCGCCAACAAATTTATGAGAATTATTACAACCATGCAAACGAAACATTTAGCCGTTGGAAAATTAGAATAAAAAGTTATAAATAGATTTTTGTTTCCGATTAAAGGCGACAGTGAATATATAAGTCTGAATTAGTAATGAAATAAAAAAAGTATCCGTTACATTGATCTGGAAGAGAAGAAATAAATATTTTATGTT